TAACTAGAATCTACATAGAACTCAGGAAAATCAGCAAGCAAAAAATCAAACAACCCCATTAAAAAATGGGCAAAGGACATGAACAGAAACTTTTTCAAGAGAAGACAGACTAATAGTCAAGAAATATATGAAAAAATGCTCAACATCTCTAATCATCAGGAAAATGTAAATCAAAACTACAATGAGATATCACTTAACTCCAGTGAGCATGGCTTTCATTAAAAAGTCCCAAAACAATAGATGTTGGTGTGGATGTGGAGAGACAGGAACACTCATACACTGCTGGTGGGACTGCAAACTAGTACAACCTCTGTGGAAAGTAATATGGAGATACCTCAAAGAGCCACAAGTAGAGCTACCATTTGATCCAGCAATCTCATTACTGGGCATCTACCCAAAGGGAAAAAGGACATTCCATAAATAAGACATTTCCATTCAAATGTTTATAGCAGCACAATTCACAATTGCAAAGATGTGGAAACAACCCAAGTGCCCATCAATACATGAGTGGATTAATGAAATTTGGTATATGTATACCATGGAGTACTACTCAGCTATAAAAACAATGGTGATCTAGCACCTCTTGTATTATACTGGATAGAGCTGGAGTCCATTTTAGTAAATGAAGTATCACAAGAATGGAAAAACAAGCACCACATGTACTCACCATCAAATTAGTATTAACTGACCAAAACTTATGTGCACATATAGTAGTAACATTCATCAGGTGTAGGGTAGGTGGAAGGGGGGGAGGAGAGGATGGGTATATTCACACTGAATGGGTGCAGTGTGCACCATCTGGGGGATGGACATGCTTGAAGCTCTGGCTCAGGGAGGGCAAAGGCAACACATGTAATCTATACATTTGTACCCCTGTAATATGCTGAAATAAAAAATAAATAAAATCTTTAAAACAACTCACAAAAGATGCCAATGGTGTTGCCAATAAACAGAGACATAAATAACATACAGGTGCATAATAAATAATACATATATTTATAATAAGTATTGATAATAATACATATTTTCAAGCATAAAGTATAATACAGTAGACTAATTCCTTTTTCCCTATATTATTATTTCATGAGTAATGATAAAGATTTTGGCTATTTTTAGTAATTGTAGGAGATTCTTTCCAGCAGATATCTTTATGTTGAAAAGGTATGAGATAATAGATGGAAAGTGTATAGTTAAGACAAAATTTCCAAATAAAAAGAATATCTAAAACTATGCATGGGTAGTATTTAGCTAAGAGAAGAAGAATAAATGGAAAGGGGGCCTAGTAAAATGTTGAGAAACATTAGTAATAGTTCAGAATCAGGCCAGGTGCAGTGTGGCTCATGCCTGTAATCCTAGCACTTTGGGAGGTCAAGGTGGGAGACTGCTTGAGGCCAGGTTTGATACCACCCTAAGCAACAGTGAGACCCATGTCTCTACAAAAAATAGAAAAATTAGCTGGGTGTGGTGGCACACGGCTGTAGTCCCAGTCTTGGAGGCTGAGCAGGGGATCACCTGAGCCAGAAGTTTGAGGTTGCAGTGAGCTATGATGAGGCCACTGCACTCCATCCTGGGCGACAGAGCAAGACCCTGTCTCAAAAAAAAAAAATTTTTTTTTTCAGAATCATGGAGATATTTACAAATTTCAATAGAGGCTTATTATATTTCTTAGATGTATGGTGAGTCATATGTGATCAGGTAGTGTGCATACTCAACTTTCAAATACATTCATTCATTCATTCAACAAATATTTACAAGTAGCTATTAAGTTCAAGGCATGGTTCTAGGCACTAGCATTGTTTTGTGGTCAACAAAACAATGTTATTCCCCACCATCCTCAGGTAGAGAAGCACAGGGGAAAAATTAAATAAATATACAAGATAATCTCAGGTTGCAGAAGGTAGCAATAAGTGAACACAATGGGTGACTACTTTTAATAAAATATTAACAATCACAGAAGTCCTTGGTGAGATCATGTATAATGTTTGAACTGGGACAGAAAAATGATGAGTAGGCCATGTAAGACCTGGGGTGACCATTCTAGGACAAGCACAAATAAGGACAAGTAGGCCAGGTGGCTCATGCCTGTAGTCCAGCACTTTGGGAGGCCAACATGGGAGACTGCTTGAGCCCATGAGTTGAAGACAGCTTGGCAATGTAGCAAGACTCTATCTCTCTCTAAAAAATTTAAAATAAATAAATAATTTTAAAAGGTCCTGAGAGTGGGAGGGGGTAAAGGTGTGACACATTTGAAAACAGGAAGAAAGAAGGTAGAGCATATCTTTCCTGGAGCATAGGAAGTAAGTACAAAATGAGGCTGCAAGAGGACCAGGTATCAGACCATGCAGGGCTTTTTGGGTCCAGCAGAGATATGAATTGTATTCTTTTTTTAAAAATTGAGGTAAAATTCCATCACATGCAATTAACCATATTAAAGTATACAATTCAGTGGCATTTAGAGCATTCACAATGTTGTGCAACCATTCCTTAGATTGTATTCTTATTGACAAAGATTGTAAAGCAGATAGAATAGAGGTTGCTGTGGCCTGAGGCCATTGTTCACCTCTTTATAGGGGAATTGTGTGTAATCCACAGGGCAAACCACTTACACAGCTGGCACACAGTAAAGGCTCAACAGTATTAAATATTATGATTTTATTATGGATTCTAAAAAATTTATTAAATAAAGGAATACAATGAATTTTATTATCTATGATTATAAATTTAGAGGATATAATTTATAATGAGTTTATTTAGCAAAAACATGTATCCATATATAGATAGTTGCTTACAGTGTTATGGTCACACTATATTGTAGCAGAATGAAAATCTGATAACTTTTACTTTTTCTTTTTAATTAATAATCATTTTACCCTTGAGTTTATTACTTAAATTACATTTTTTGTCTCTCAGTAATAAATTATTTTCTTCCTGGAAACAAATCCTAAAAGTCCAGGTAAGCAGAGTAATTAGACCTATTATGGAGGCGATAACAATTTTTTTTTAATTGAGACAGAGTCTCACTTTGTTGGCCCGACTGAGTGAGTGCTGTGGTGTCAGCCTGGCTCACAGCAACCTCAATCTCTTGGACTCAAGCTCAGCCTCCCGAGTAGCTGGGACTACATGGTATGTGCCACCATGCCTGGCTAGTTTTTTGTATATATATTTTTAGTTGGTCAATTAATTTCTTTCTATTGTTAGTCAGCGAAAGTCTTGCTCAGGCTGGTTTCGGACACTCTTACCTCAAGCACTCCGCCCATCTCGGCCTGCGATAACAAATTAATAAAAAAAAGTTGATGGTATGGAGATGCCAAAGAGTAAAAACAAAAGTGTGACAACCTTTTGTACTTCAACTAAAATCTTCAACTGAAACAGGAGCCGCACCTCTCACCTCTCACAAGAATCACTCATGGTGATAACAGACTTAAACTAAGGCATGAAACAGTAAGAATCTAGCAGAAAATGTTGGGAAAACTCTTACAACATTGGCCATAGGCAAGAATTTATGAAGAAAGACCCAACGGCAATCACAGCAACAACAAAAGTAAAATAGTGTGAGTGATCAAATTAAGAAAGCTTCTGCACAGCCAAGGAATATCCTGGAGAGCAAAACAGACAACATACAGAATGGGAAGAAAATATTCAATGCTACCACATCCTGGATAAAGGCTGAAAAAAAAAAAAAAAAAAGCATCCCAAACTCTGGGAATATATGGTTACGAGATACGAAACCATTACCAGTACCACATCCAGCTTGAACAAACCAACCAGCAACACTTTCAAGTTTTATTGAAAATAAGGCAGAACGCTAAGTTAAAAGGTACTGAAACCTAGCCTACCAGAATTGAAGAAATGATTATCACCATGTGACTGCTGGATAAGCCATATGCAAAGAAGGTGACAGGAAGATATGGAAATGTTAAAAGCATTATAGCCAAAGAGCACCTTTCACTTGAGTTACAGAAAGAGCTGATCTAACACGTTAGTCTCTTCAGCTGCAATCACACATACACAATCGTCACAACTGGTATAATTTTGGTATCATGAACACCATCTGTGACATCAATGTAAAAATAAAACAAAGAAATTTTTCTTTAACTTCTAAAATTGACAGGTAGGTAATTTGGTCATTTTTGAGAACATATGACCACTTTCAATCACTTGTTCTTCTTAAGTTTTTCCTTTCCACAGCTTTTTCTTGTGTCCTTTGCATTTTGATTTTCTTTTTAAGTTTCTCCCTCTTTTTTTTCCCTGTCCTACTCATTTCTCAAGCCTGCCAGCAGTGTTCTCACTCATGTATTTTAGTGTTGCTGGCAGCATTTGGAACCAGGGAAGTACTGATCCTTGGCTAAAGGAGTACAGAAGAATGTTTCCCAATGTTTTACACATTTGAAATTAGGCTTAGCAAAAAATAGTTTCGGTGATATCACCCCAATGAAGTGTAATACATTTAAACAAGAGAACATGGAAATAAATGTACCTTCAGAGCTACAAAATCATAGGGATGAAAGCCCATACAGGCCTTGTGGATTTGGGACATCATTCGAGCTGTTTTCTCCCAGAATCCAAGCAGTGTTCTCTGCAGAAAAAGAAAAGGTGACACTATAATTCTGCTTCTCCTCTCTGACTTTTAAGTGCTGTATTTCCTCACTAGTGTAGTAGAGGAATAGTTGCCAAATAAGAAGCTGGAACTAAATTCAAGTTTCAGGAACCAGAAAGCACTTCAAATAGTAATTTTGCACAAGAACTGGCATCTGTGGAGAGGGAGGGACAAGGGAAACAGGGCAGGGAAAGAACTGGCACGTGTGTCTGCATGTGCCCATCTGTATACAGCACTAGAATGCACACTGAAGCCACCTAGAGTGTGACTGCCACTAAGAGAATGAAAACCAAGGGATTAGAATACCGGGGGTATACAATAGAGAAATGTTAAAAACACAAAAATGCCAATCTCTATAGAAGCAAGAACATATGTGTAATCATTATGTTGATAAGCATATATAAGCATTTTTTTAATTGGAGAAAAATAACATTTACCTCTAAATTTGATCCTTCTTCTAAGGTTCAAGAAAAATTTGCCAAAAAATGTGTTCTCAAGCTAACAAGTAATTGGGAATTTTACTTACTGCCTTGGGGTTCCTGTTTAAAGTGAAGGGGATGAGTGGAGAGAACAAAGGAGAATTAAACTAATTAAACTAATAACTAAATGAAACTAATAGCCATGTTTCAGGTGGTATGCTACACAGATGGTCATGTACTTTTATTTTCAAGAGCACCCCTTCTTGATTCCCGAATTCCATAATACTGAACTAAACTAGGTAGATTCCCTAAAAGCAGGAGTGAATATCCATTTCCTTTAATTTATTACTCTTTTCTTACATAAGTACAGTTTATTCTATTTTTCTATTTATGAATATATGTTAAAATCAGTAACTGCTACTTATTGATATCTAACTTTTTCATTGTATGTGTGATTTGAGATAATATAAGCACAAGTGAGACTTCTGAGGTTAAAGTGATAGGGGATGGCAACTTAGCAAAATGAAAAGAATAAACAACCTAGAATTAGAAAACTTAGTTTTTTAAGCCCAACATTGCCATTTACTTTAATTCTCATAGGTTTCGCATTCCGCATCATAAAATGACAAAAAAGTTTTCAAACTTTTGGGGCCACAGCACTTTTGCTTAAAATGAAATTGTATGTAGAAGCTCAAAATCAGAAGTGCAGCAGCTCTGGTTGAACCAGGGCTAATGGGCCTTAAACTTTGCCTTCTCAACATTCCCCTTTTCAATCTCAGATGGTCCCTAAGTCTCTCTCCTAGGATACCAAGGAGAATAGCTACAGGAGTAGACAATCTCTAAGGTCCTTTTCAGTTTAGAACTTTATGATTCTCTGTCATAACCTAAATAAATCAATTATAACAGAGTCAGAGGAATCTAATCAATTATATAATTTTTTTGTACCCTTTAGACAACTTTTAAAAAGGAATCTCACCACTCATCTTTACTGCAAGGACATGCTGACCATGGAGGTGGGTACCTGGTAGGTAGTGAGTGAATGAGATAGCATATTGCAGCGACTAGCTCCAAGTAAATCCACTTTCTGACAAACATCCATCTTTAACTTGTCAAAAGAAGCTTTGCTATTTCTCACTTGGATCTGTACCTGCAATCACAAAAATGCCAATTGGTGTTGCCAATAATACAGAGACATAAATAACATACAGGTGCATAATAAATATTTACCATATATTTATAATAAGTATTGATAATAATACATATTTTCAAGCATAAAGTATAATACAGTAGACTAATTCCTTTTTCCCTATATTATTATTTCATGAGTAATGATAAAGATTTTGGCTATTTTTAGTAATTGTAGGAGATTCTTTCCAGCAGATATCTTTATGTTGAAAAGGTATGAGATAATAGATGGAAAGTGTATAGTTAAGACAAAAATTTCCAAATAAAAAGAAATATCTAAAACTATGCATGGGTAGTATTTAGCTAAGAGAAGAAGAATAAATGGAAAGGGGGCCTAGTTAAAATGTTGAGAAACATTAGTAATAGTTCAGAATCAGGCCAGGTGCAGTGTGGCTCATGCCTGTAATCCTAGCACTTTGGGAGGTCAAGGTGGGAGGACTGCTTGAGGCCAGGAGTTTGATACCACCCTAAGCAACAGTGAGACCCATGTCTCTACAAAAAATAGAAAAATTAGCTGGGTGTGGTGGCACACGGCTGTAGTCCCAGCTACTTGGGAGGCTGAGCAGGGGATCACCTGAGCCCAGAAGTTTGAGGTTGCAGTGAGCTATGATGAGGCCACTGCACTCCATCCTGGGCGACAGAGCAAGACCCTGTCTCAAAAAAAAAAAATTTTTTTTTTCAGAATCATGGAGATATTTACAAATTTCAATAGAGGCTTATTATATTTCTTAGATGTATGGTGAGTCATATGTGATCAGGTAGTGTGCATACTCAACTTTCAAATACATTCATTCATTCATTCAACAAATATTTACAAGGTAGCTATTAAGTTCAAGGCATGGTTCTAGGCACTAGCATTGTTTTGTGGTCAACAAAACAATGTTATTCCCCACCATCCTCAGGTAGAGAAGCACAGGGGAAAAATTAAATAAATATACAAGATAATCTCAGGTTGCAAAGGTAGCAAATAAGTGAACAGCAATGGGTGACTACTTTTAATAAAATATTAACAATCACAGAAGTCCTTGGTGAGATCATGTATAATGTTTGAACTGGGACAGAAAAATGATGAGTAGGCCATGGTAAGACCCTGGGGTGACCATTCTAGGACCAAGCACAAATAAGGACAAAGGTAGGCCAGGTGGCTCATGCCTGTAGTCCCAGCACTTTGGGAGGCCAACATGGGAGGACTGCTTGAGCCCATGAGTTTGAAGACCAGCTTGGGCAATGTAGCAAGACTCTATCTCTCTCTAAAAAAATTTAAAAATAAATAAATAATTTTAAAAGGTCCTGAGAGTGGGAGGGGGTAAAGAGCTTGACACATTTGAAAAACAGGAAGAAAGAAGGTAGAGCATATCTTTCCTGGAGCATAGGAAGTAAGTACAAAATGAGGCTGCCAGAGGGACCAGGTATCAGACCATGCAGGGCTTTTTGGGTCCAGACAGAGATATGAATTGTATTCTTTTTTTAAAAATTGAGGTAAAATTCACATCACATGCAATTAACCATATTAAAGTATACAATTCAGTGGCATTTAGAGCATTCACAATGTTGTGCAACCATTCCCTTAGATTGTATTCTTATTGACAAAGATTGTAAAGCAGATAGAATAAGAGGTTGCTGTGGCCTGAGGCCATATGTTCACCTACTTTATAGGGGAATTGTGTGTAATCCACAAGGCAAACCACTTACAACAGCTGGCACACAGTAAAGGCTCCAACAGTATTAAATATTATGATTTTTATTATGGATTCTAAAAATATTTATTAAATAAAGGAATAAATGAATTTTATTATTCATATATGATAAATTTAGAGGATATAATTTATAATGAGTTTATTTAGCAAAAACATGTATCCATATATAGATAGTTGCTTACAGTGTTTATGGTCACACTATATTGTAGCAGAATGAAAAATCTGATAACTTTTACTTTTTCTTTTAATTAATAATCATTTTACATGAGTTTATTACTTAAATTACATTTTTTTGTCTCTCAGTAATAAATTATTTTCTTCCTGGAAACAAATCTCAAAAGTCCAGGTAAGCAGAGTAATTAGACCTATTATGAGGCGATAACAAATTTTTTTTTTTAATGAGACAGAGTCTCACTTTGTTGCCCAGCCTAGAGTGAGTGCTGTGGTGTCAGCCTGGCTCACAGCAACCTCAATCTCTTGGGCTCAAGCTCAGCCTCCCGAGTAGCTGGGACTACAGGTATGTGCCACCATGCCTGGCTAGTTTTTTGTATATATATTTTTAGTTGGTCAATTAATTTCTTTCTATTGTTAGTAGAGACGAAGTCTTGCTCAGGCTGGTTTCGAACTCCTTACCTCAAGCACTCCGCCCATCTCGGCCTGCGATAACAAATTAATAAAAAAAAGTTGATGGTATGGAGATGCCAAAGAGTAAAAACAAAAGTGTGACAACCTTTTGTACTTCAACTAAAATCTTCAACTGAAACAGGAGCCGCACCTCTCACCTCTCACAAGAATCAACTCATGGTGGATAACAGACTTAAACCTAAGGCATGAAACAGTAAGAATTCTAGCAGAAAATGTTGGAAAAACTCTTACAGACATTGGCCTAGGCAAAAGAATTTATGAAGAAGACCTCAACGGCAATCACAGCAACAACAAAAATAAATAAGTGGGACGTGATCAAATTAAAAAGCTTCTGCACAGCCAAGGAAACTATCCTGAGAGCAAACAGACAACATACAGAATGGGAGAAAATATTCACATGCTACACATCTGATAAAGGGCTGGTAACTAGAATCTACATAGAACTCAGGAAAATCAGCAAGCAAAAAATCAAACAACCCCATTAAAAAATGGGCAAAGGGACATGAACAGAAACTTTTTCAAGAGAAGACAGACTAATAGTCAAGAAATATATGAAAAAATGCTCAACATCTCTAATCATCAGGAAAATGTAAATCAAAACTACAATGAGATATCACTTAACTCCAGTGAGCATGGTTTCATTAAAAGTCCCAAACAATAGATGTTGGTGTGGATGTGGAGAGACAGGAACACTCATACACTGCTGGTGGGACTGCAAACTAGTACAACCTCTGTGGAAAGTAATATGGAGATACCTCAAAGAGCCACAAGTAGAGCTACCATTTGATCCAGCAATCTCATTACTGGGCATCTACCAAAGGGAAAAGGACATTCCATAAATAAGACATTTCCATTCAAATGTTTATAGCAGCACAATTCACAATTGCAAAGATGTGGAAACAACCCAAGTGCCCATCAATACATGAGTGGATTAATGAAATTTGGTATATGTATACCATGGAGTACTACTCAGCTATAAAAACAATGGTGATCTGCACCTCTGTATTAATACTGGATAGAGCTGGAGTCCATTTTAGTAAATGAAGTATCACAAGAATGGAAAAACAAGCACCACATGTACTCACCATCAAATTAGTATTAACTGACCAAAACTTATGTGCACATATAGTAGTAACATTCATCAGGTGTAGGGTAGGTGGAAGGGGAGGAGAGGATGGTATATTCACACTGAATGGTGCAGTGTGCACCATCTGGGGGATGGACATGCTTGAAGCTCTGGCTCAGGGAGGGCAAAGGCAACACATGTAATCTATACATTTGTACCCCTGTAATATGCTGAAATAAAAAATAAATAAAATCTTTAAAACAACCAAGAATTTGAGTCAGAGCTTGAAGCTCTGACTCAGGGAGGGCAAAGGCAACACATGTAATCTATACATTTGTACCCCTGTAATATGCTGAAATAAAAAATAAATAAAATCTTTAAAACAACCAAGAATTTGTAATAAAACATACATTTCTCAAAAATAGTCTGACATTTTATGATCTTGATTAAATTATTCTGTGGAAGTTCCATATTTTATATATCAAGGAAAAGGATAAATTTTCATACTTTTCTGAATTTTTCCATTTGTTTCAAGGTGTCTGGGTCCAGTTCTTGGGATACATCTTTCATCCACAGCAGAGCTCCTCTGTATTCTGTGCGTGCCTGCTCCATTCGATTGATTGTCATCAAGGTATCAGATACTGCCCTCTGACTGAATGTTGCTACTTCTTGCTTAAGACGAGAAAGGGGAGTACACAGGGCCAATCTAATAGGAGAGAGGTAAAGATCAGAGGGTTGTACAAATATAAGTAAAAAAAAAAACAAAGATTTAAACTAATCATAAAGCATATTTGCTATCCAGATGACTCTACAAATAAAAAATTATTATATTAAGATGCCTAAGGGGATTTAGAAAGCAAACAAGGATCATGTAGCCAACTTTGAAGTATTAATAAAGACGTGCCTATACCTCCCCCTTTTTGTTATGTTAGGAAATATATAGATTTTTGCAACACTTTGGATGTTAATCCGTGTATAAATAACCTACCAAGTAAATGTGCCATTTAGAAAAGAGTTTTGAGGGTAACAGAATCTGCATTCGTAAAGCATAATATAATTAATAGAAAGCCTTTCATTTGACAAGTTAAGGGGAAACCTGGATTTAGAAGACAAGATAAAAGGCTAAAGAACTAATGAGTATGGATGGAGTCCTTAGCAGCTGAGGACAAAGACAAAAAAACAAATATTTAAGAAATATAAATTAAATCCAACCCTTTTACTCTGCTTTTGACTTAATTGTAGGTCCCTGCACTATCTCTGTCATTTCCTTCAAGATGGACTTTTACACTGATGTGATGTTTCAGAATAAAGCCACTTACACTGGACATCATCATTACAGGCTGATAAGGGCTGTTTTTATTTTTCTTCTGAAATACAAAGATTTGGGCTATTTTTATTAATTACAGGAGATTCTCTGAAGCAAGTTTCTTTGTATTAAAGCATTGTGAAATAACAAATGGAAAGTATGTAATTAAGAAAAAATTGGGCCAATCACAGTGGCTCATGCCTGTAATCCCAGCATTTTGGGAGGCCAAGGCAGGAGGATTGCTTGAGATCAGGAGTTCAAGACCAGCCTAAGCAACAAAGCAAGACCTCAATCTGTATAAAAATATTTAAAAATTAGCCAGGCATGGTGGTATGCACCATAAGCCCAGCTACTCAGGAGGCTGAGGAAGGAGGATTAATCACTTGAGCCCAGGATTTGAGGTTGCAGTGAACTATGATCATGTTATTACATTCCAGCCTGGGTGACAGAATAAGATCCAATCTCTAAAAAAACAAAAAACAGAAGAAAATATTTCTTCCACTTAAAAAGAAAAGTCCCAATATATTCATAGATAGTATAGTATCAAAAAAGTAAAAGAAAACAATGGAAATATACATATTTAAATTAAAATGTTAACCATTCTGTGACTGTTACATCAAACTACTTGAGAACTATAAATACAGGACTAAAGGCTATTCCTAGGAATAAAACATCAATCTTTAATTATTTTGAATACAAAATTAATAATTAAGAGTTAGGTATCAAAAAAGTTATACTGCAATATATTTCTCTCTTCTTCTAACCCTTTATTGGAATGATCAGTGACCTTTGCAAATACGAAAATTTAAGTACATATGTCAAAATGTCATTTGCCTACAGATTTAAGGTTAAGAAAAACCATGGTAAACCTTTGCTTGGCTGAAGAACAGAGTGCCTTGCCAGTGGCATCCATCATTTTGCCAGCTTGCGTTGCATCCCGTTCTGCTTGAAACTTTAAAAAGAGCCCTAGCTCATTTTCTTCCTCTGATATAACTAGGGAAAAAAATTACAGTATAGTTAATTGTTTCATTTCATCATTTGTTTAAAATACACACACAACTAAAATTCTCACAGCAATAACTCTCTATACTAAGATTTACTTGGAGGAGGAAGAGGATAAATTTATTTCTAAAATACAAATTCCTGGGCTCTGTTTCCAGAGATTTCGATGTTACAGGTCTGGGTTTCTTGCTTTTTACAAGCACTCCAGATGGTTTTGATGCAGTGAATGCATGGATCTTGCTTTGAGAAAGACTAATCTTTAGTGACAGAAAACCCTTAAAGCTACAAAATAAAACAAAGCCGCAAATAATGCATTTTCAAATGTGTAGAGATGCATTTTAGGATCATTGTCTCTTACAAAGTAACAATTTGTTTCCTATTTAAACTAGTTAACTCATTCTTGATTCCCATCCTGGCTTCAGTTTCCCGTGCTTAGTATCCCAGACCCACAGCTGTCCACAATTTTGCAACAGCAACCCTAAAAGTTGTCATCTGGTACGCTGCTACTCAAAGTGTGGCCGTGGACCAGTGTTGATCCAGAATCCTCTGTTATCAGCCTATGACAAGATAAGTAAAGAAACTGAGAATAACTGCATAGAGACTTTTTACACATTTGCCTGAGCATTTCACATTTGTTGAATCTATTAATTTTAAACGTGAGCTTATATTTTCATGCCTTTTTATTTCATTTTTCCAAAAATTCATTTTTAAGTATCAGTTTATAAGAGATTGAAAGTATAATAAACCACAAAACAAAAAACTGGTCCTTCGCCACACGTTAAGAAATACTGATCTAATGTAAGGTGACCCCCTAAACCACATTAAGACTAGTAAGCAGGGAAAGCCCGTAAAGTGTTCCAACTATAAGCTTTTAAAGTGAACAAAATGACAACAATGTCATGCCTAATTTCACCCTAATTCAATGATAGAAAAATTGAAGTCATAAACTGAAAGGGAAGTCCCTGGGTACCTCTAAGGCTACGGTAGAACTCAGGCCTTCTCACTTGTTGGCCTCCCATTCCCACTGTTCCCCCTCTCATGCCTACAAGGGTGACACGACCCAAGGGGAACATGATGGTGTTATGAGGAAGAGTGTCTACACATTGTCATTGTGTAGTATCATCTTTAATAAAACCATGTGCTATATTACGCACAACTAACCTGAGGCAGACTGGATGGGATTTGGGGAGATGTCAATTTAACATTCTGATTACTTGAGAGATGTATGAATCAGAACTTCATAATACATATTCAATGAAAACTACTAGAAAAAATATTCATTTGTGTATGATGATTCAGAAAGTCCTCTGAGAACTTGAAATACTTCATTATCAAGTATCAATTGAACGTAAACCATCATTGAGCCATACCTTTATCAATGTACAAAGGACAGGAGATGAGGCTGCATTTGTGCTGTTTCTGTGTTGGGACCTGCCTATCAAATTCTACAGAGAACCCACCCTGATGTGTTCTTCACCCTGTCAAGTGATTCCCATAAAGATTTATAGCACCGGACTAACCTACTGCATTTGACTGATGTTATTCCTAACAGAAGATGTATTAACACAAGTCTCTAAGAAAGCATATATTTATATATAATCTCAAAGAGAAAGTACACAATGAAATCTATTTATGTGTATCTCCTCCTTATCCTGAAATACTCCACCAGAGTGCTAAAAGATCTAGTGATGTCAAGGCAAAATCAAACAAACTTGCCGGTGTTTCTTCACATTTCCATTTCTATCAAACCACATCCTTGGTCCAATGGTTGGGATGGCCTTTTATCACTTGGTACAATATTTAATATCCTTAGTAATATAACCCTAAATTTCCTTTACTCCTTTATCCTCCCATTGGTTTCAATGACAAACTCTTCTGCCCATGCAGGCAGTTCTCAATCTTTAAGCTCATTCCCTGGACTCCAAATCTCTTCTTTTCTCCAAATGCTCAACTTCTATAAACCCTCTTTTAAACGTGATTCCCATCTATGGAGTTGCCTTTATCCATTGAGGTAATATATAGTTATTTTTCACTCCTAGGAATTAAAGGTTATATCACTATTCTGAACTCAATTACATACTATTTGTATCATCTCTTGTTTTGTTACAAAAAGTTGTGTGTCTATTTCCTCGGGAAAAGCACATACATAACCTTGCACATGGCAGGTACTCAAAAAATACTTGAATGATCATGCTTTATTGGAATTGTTTCTCTAATAGGATAATATTTAAGCCTAGATTATAAAGCAATGATATTAATTTACATAGCTACACAAAAAAAGCATTCATTAGAGGAGAATCCAACAAAGGCAGGATGCTGAGAAGGAATAACTAGAAGGAGGGAAACCAGGGAAGCCAAGTGAAGGAAATCTATCAAGGAAGAAGGATAATCAACTGTGTTTAATGATGTGATAAGCCACATAACTGGCCATTGGATTTAGCTCTTCATGAACTTGACAAGAGAAGTATGGTGGA